TAATTTAAATTATCATTTTACTGAAGAATAGAATCGTTTGCTGAAGAATTGCACGCTTTTTGTTTAAGAAAGTAAATTTAATGTAATAATTGAATTTTAGAATGGAGACGAAAGAAGAAATAATTAAACGCATCGAGTGTATCAAAAGTGTATTTGAATGCAAATTAGTGCAGATGTTGCCTTCAAATTTTGTATTTGAAAATTGCACACTTTTAGGTTCGCGTGATTTATGCAACATAAATTTAACTTGATCTAAACATGTATGTTTCAAAATATTCCAATTTCTAATCTGAATTCGTATAAAACATTTGCTTGGCAATAATTTAAAAATGTTACATCGGCTCTTCTGAAACGAAGAGGATTCTAGGAGTTATATCTTCCTTGCATAAGCAACACGTGTCATTTTTGTATTTAAGCAGATACAAGCTTTACAGGAAGTAGTCGGGACATTAAAGAAACATTAGAGATAATAGAGGGTGTGGCAAGAGGAGTGATACAACGAGACAGTGAATAATTTTGCATGTACAAATAAAGCGAGAATATAGAATAAAATTTTTTTTAGTAAAAAGCTTATTTTCTTGGAAAAAATTTCGATTAGTGTATAGATACCAAAGATATGGTATTCCGTTAAAAAAACAATAATTACATTTTTAATTACATTTTTCCGATACTCCGATGCACAAAAATGCGTAAAATTAACTCCAGAATATGCACCACTTGACACCGTTTAATTTTGTCCTATAGAATTTTTTTCCATCTCTAACCGTTTTAAAGATACAGCTTATCCCAGTTGCGCGGGACACCCTATGATGATGATAGAGAATAAAATTACCGGTCGAAAGTGATAACCATCGTTTCTATCCTGAAACCCCTTGAATTTCGCTGCACAGCTCGAAAGCTTGTTCTATTATAGCGTGAAACGCGTACATTTAAAAGGGAGCATTCATCTGATTGCAAGCATTCAACTTTGAAATAGCATCGCACGAGTGTCGATTTGTTCATGTGATGCGCGTTCGGAGTTTGTTTAGTATCCATATCGAATTTGCACGAGCACCGAGCCAATAAGTGCTTGCATAAGTACCTATTCTAATGTGAGAAGTTAAATTCGTTTGTTCATGTTGAATCGTTACAAAGTTACATAAAAAAAAAAAGAGAAACGAAAGAAAATTTTGAAGGTTGATTTCCATTTGGCTAAAGTGATTTTCCTCAGAAAAGAATTCTTCCTTACACACGCTTCATTATGCTTTACATTGTACATGAAGTTTTATGGAAATCAGAGTTTTTCTGTTGGGTGATTTTCACTGCAGATAACTACGAAGATTACTGAAAATTTTCTTTGCAGAATTAATCGTAAATACGAAAAAATAAATATTTTTTTCTCTAGTGCTCAACGATTTCTACGATAGAAACGTGTAGAATTCTCGCTGTTTCTTAAAAATCCTTCGATTTTTCTAAAAGATTCGGCATAATTGAAGCGGTTTCACACCGTTTTGTAGACATGCGTGCAAAGGTTAACAGTGGAGCAGAGTTTAAAGAAAGGATAAGGGAGGATAAAAGAAACATACCTGCTGAATGCGAATTTTTCTGTGTTTGGGCACTGTGTCATTTAAGATAACCTTGCTACTCTCGTTAAATGGACGAACATCCTTTAACGATTCGACGCTTGGCGACACATCGGTGACGTTACCACCGACCTCACCGGAAGCGGATTTCTTCACCCTATTTCCACACTTCTCCGCGGCCTCCAGGGGGTTCACATACAGATTACTGTCCACCTCCTCGGTCAGATCACCCTATGGAACGGTGGAATGAGACTTCCTTGGATATTATACAGATTGTACTTTTTTTTTTATTCATACTATGGTAACGTGTTCGCCGAGGCGAATTCAACGACGTGTCACAGGAAGTCTTATGAAAAATCGTAAAGTAACGAAGAACCAAGGAGTTAGGGAATCATTTCTAAACTAAACCGTACTTGACTATGCTACGAATACAAATTCTCCGTAATTTTCTCATTTATACAGTCGAAACTCGATAACTCGAAGGGGAGAGCTAAAATGTTCGAGGTTTCGACTTTATCGAAATTTTGGAGTAGAAGAGATTTAACAAACGAAAATTCGACACACAGAAGCTTTTCACGAAAGGTTAATAATTTTCCAATTGTTAACGGGTTAAAGAGTACAATATCTCGATAAAATCAAGGTAAGTACCTGAGAATGAGACGGATGCGTTTGGCAGCTGGCATAAGTATCGGAGCTGTCCACGCTTCCTTGCTCGTTGTACATTTTCCCGTAGCTCGAGGCATCGATAGCTTGAACCGGTGACGGTTTCACTTCGTTCCCGAAGATCTGCTGGTGTGCAACTTCCATCAACGCTCCGGAACGCATCGATTTCATCTCTTGGCAGATAGGGTTACGAAAGTCGCTGGTGGCCAGTGGCATTATATTTTCGGCGTCTCTGAAGTCTTTGTACTCCTAGAAACACGACCGAAGTGAAAAGTCTCGGTTTGTCGAAGACGATCTGTCGCACGATGCGTCGCCTTCAACATCGATCCGATCCTAGAAATTTAGAGAGAAACGGCGCACCTTTCGTCCAAGCAGAATATTTTCCACGATTAATTTCAAATATCAACGAAGTAACATCCTTTCAAGCAGAGAATGTATCAAGAGAAGAATGAACTAATCGTAAGTCAATTTTAACGACAAAAGTTGACAAAAGTTGCGCTCGTTTGTTAATTGGAAAAAAAAACAAACAAACAACTATAGTTTCTTTTGTGTGCTATAATAAGTATATTCTAAGAGTAAAAGTAAAAGGGGCGAGGGATAAAGGAAAGGGAGAACTCATTTGTGTGCTCTCTAAATTCTATTGAACAAATAGAACAAATTTCTATTTAACGTGACCTTTCTATTTTCCGTGTGTTTTATTTTATATACTCGCCTGATCCACGATCCAGAACGGTATTTGCTCGATTGTTAAGCAGGTTAGAGGAGGACAGTATACATATACATATACATGTGAGCCTGTAATAAGGTGCGAAACTTAAGGAAAATAATAGTTGCTATTTGTTAGTCGTTCCTTTGAAGCTTGCCAGAACTGACTGACCTACCAGATGCAATTAGTCACAATATCGTACATTCCGAATACATAATAGGTTGCAAAAATCTGTAGATGCTGTTTCTATCGTGCTTTTGTTAATTCACGCGCCGGTATTGTTCGGTTACTTCTAAAAAAAAAAGAACGTCATGCTGTGAAAATAGAAAAGTATAGAACAAGCGTACCTATGTATATATAATATTAAAGTTGGACCCCATTACACGATACCAGATCGATCGCATTCACAATTCTACGCTATTTAAGACTTACCATACTAACAATAAGTACAGTGAAAAATGCGAGTCAAGCTATATTTGTAGTTGCTGTTCGTAAAAGACAAGCGTACATTCCGTGTTTCAAATTTGTCTCGTTTTGGAAATTAAGAGCATATTCTATATTCGAGTGTCTAGGGGAAAGTATCATGAAATTACGTGAAACATGCAAAGTCGCGATTTTCGGTCAATTTGAACTAGAGAGTGTACGCCGAGGAAATTGGAAAGTGACGATTGTACGCGTGTAATGAATATACAAATCTATTTGTCGACGAAATTCGGGCATTGCCTTTTTTATTCTTGGCCAGAAATTCGGTTAATGATAATATTGTTAACGATTGATAATCGAAGTAACAGCGTTCGTTTAAAAGAAAAAAAGAAGGTAAATCGTCGTTTAAGTTACGTGAACAAGTGTCGCAGCTGTAGAATCGCATTCATCATCAATGGCATTATTTCGATTTTCCTTTTCTCGTGAAAGAACAAATAAGTGAACAAATGATCAATCGCGGTTTTATCGTCAGATTGATCATTTGTCGAATTGAAGAAGCGCAATCTGCGTTAATAAAGAGAATTCTACGCGTAGCGTTCGCTAATCAATCAGATCAGATATATATATATATATATACCTATTACTCGATCATGCCACGTACGATGATAAAATGAATGAAAGTCTATTATGTGTGTCTCTTGCTCTCTATGCAGCCAATGAACTAATGGGAAGGTGTATTAAGTCAATCAACGTCGATAACGCTCAAGACATCCAGCCGTCGTGCGTAAACGTCATCACCGTGAGAAATAATGTCCTGCTTTCTCTGAATAGGAAAACCGTGAAAAACAATTTCACGAATGAAACAGTAAAAACGAAACAAAAAACTCGTTCCATTTGGACGATGTAAGTATATGTACTTTTATATACTTCATTGCCATGATCGTATTTAGTATTGTAAATCCATTCTATAACTAACGCGAGTATCTGGAAAAATGGACAATGATGTAGAAATAGAGAAAACGAGAGGATATAGTAATAGATAAGTAAATCGTTTTATTTCCAAAAGAGTAAAATACTCGCCTCGTTTATAGGATGATCGGACCAATTCTCTTACAAAATAGTCATTAAAGTGTATTGAAACGTGTCATGTGTAACATTGCTAATCCACTGAATTGACACGAGTATACTTAATTCATCGCAGCGGTGAATCCGAAGTGAAAAATTCGTTGCCGGTTAGAAGACGGTGCTTCATATTTGTCCGAATTATTAGCAGGGTTGCAAGCAAATTGGAGCTTCAACACGAGTAAATTCTCTTTCGTTCTTGCCAACATAATTCATGCACGAATGTAGCGTGCAAACTTGATGTTTGTTTTAGACTTTGGAACGGAGGGAATTATTCATCAAAGAGCGATAGGAGAAGGAGAGTTTAATGGTTTAAATAAATATGTATATATGCAGTAGGCATGTGCGAATAATTTAAAGGTACTTCGTAACACGTTCGAAACTGAAGCAATAAAATTAGATATATTAGTAATGAAATGATGTTATAACGATGAATGAAAATTTGAGCATTTATTATTTAGAAGAAAGAAACACTGCTGTTCAAAGTTCAAGTGGTTAGTATAATTGGGCTGAGAATTATATAAAAAAAAACTCACTAGGAAGTTGTTGACAAAATGATTCCAAGCAAATAAATAAGTTTATCTTAATATTCGAATCTTTGATTTTATTTTCTATTTTTTTTTTTTTTTTGTTTTTAGAATGGAGTAATCAGAAAATAAAGGAAACTTTAATTCGCAAATACCTAATACTTATAATATGCTCAAACGGTAAGTATTACCCAGTGTCCCGAAGACACTAAGAGGGATGGTATCGTACAACTAAATCAAAGACAAATTTCAAACTTTCATTCTCGATGCTTTGAAAAATTCAACGCTTTATACTCTTATACATATTTATCGTTTCTATTTATCCAGACTCTGCATGCACACTGGTCGGACTAAACTAACGATCTACCAATAAAATGAGCTAAAACGAACAGTGTTAATCCTTTGTACTCGATATGGATAATTAGCAATGATGCAATGAAATTGTTTAAACAGAACTGAAAAGATAAATCGTACGTATGATATAATTCCAATTAATTTCAATATTGTATGTAAATAATACAATAAAGAGTATGACTGCAAGCCAATTAAAGAAAAATTTCATAATAAATCGCTCGTATCTTCTTCTCAAAGATTCGAAATGTCAGGCTGTAATCACGAGAAATGTATTCGTTACACGTTTATTTCCCGTTTCATTTATATGAACAAAATGGTTTATACGCAAAACTATGGTTGTTGATTCGTTATCAGTTATGCTTCTTATTGTATTTTCGTATCGTATGTAGCAATAGCGAAAGTTCCCTCTCGAGCGCAAAGGTTTAGGAAGCCATTTTGTTTTCGATTTGCTCGTGTCGAAGAAATATAATTAATCTAACAGAACTCTAACAAGTCTAAAGTTACTTGGTATTTCGCCACAGCGTGCTGGATAAACTAATCAACGTGATAGAAGAAAAGTGACACATGTGTGTGTGTGTTTTGTGTGTGTATGACGCGGCCAAAGCCATCGAAGGCATCGTGTTTCGTTCAGAGTGGCGTGAAATCCGCCATTGAACGATGCCCGCGTGCCTTGACCTAAAAACTTGCGAGTTTACACGCAAATGAAATTAGTGGATGAGCTACGGTTGCGTCTAAAGCTTTGAATGAACTGGCATCGTGTCAATGAAATAGTTGTACTCTGTTCAGAGTAAGGGAGGGAGGCAGTGCATACACCCAGTGGACTATACATACGGACAAACGATGTGCAAGTCGGCCGTAGTAGAATGGACACACTAGTGGCGGACAGATAATAAAAGCCAGGGGACAAACGCGAGTCGAACAAAGTCGGTGACAAAGAGACAAAGCAACAAAAACAGATATAGATCGTAATATAATGTAACAGAGAGTCCAAAGAGTAGACAAGAGAGAGAGAGAAAAAAATGAAAAAAAAAAAGAAAGAACGACGGACAGAAAAGTACAAAAACAAAAAAAAGAAGTTATTAGTCCCCTCGGTCCCAATTCTCTCGACAGCCCATTGGTGTATGTAGTGCCGCCTAAAGGAAGAACGTTAGTGATCGTAAATACCTTCGTAGTACAAAAGCAACACTCGAATTCGCTAGGTATTTCATCATTTTTCTCGAATTTTCTGCTGTCTTTTTTCTCTTCATCCTACAATGTCACACACACAATTTCCTATTTTACTTTTCGTAACATACACGGCTCGTCCCGTCTGAAAGCGACCGGATAATTTCGTTCTGCAACATTTCTTCTTTTTTTTTCTTTTAGACACCCTTTGTACGAACATGATTTTTCTAGTTATTCCTATATTAAAACTGAATATATTTAGTTATTCCTTATCTCGTATCAAAGGGGATTAAAATTTGAATTTCCCGCTGCGTCAAATTTTTCCTCTCTTTTCACGAAGAATGCGTACAACAAAACACGAAATAATACGAACGCTTCCCAAACGAGCGAACACGAGCATAATTAATCCTTTGAAGCACATATTCAAGAAAAAACTTCTGTCTGATAATGCAATCGTAATTATTCTCGTTTCTTTTTCTTTTTTTTTTAATGAGACCAATTGTACATCTCGAATAAAAGTTTTCGCAAGAGGAATTCGATCATTATTGGATACAGCTAGCTACGCTGTGCCTTCTCATTAGTATGTATAAAGGAGGCTCTTAAATTTCAACATTAAGTACAGCAGCACCTTTCGACAACAGTGCTTCAAAGGCTTAAATAAGAGCACGAATCAAGGCAACGTATGATCACGTGGAGCCAGAGAGAGAGAGAGAGAGAGAGAGAGAGAGAGAGAGAGAGAGAGAGAGAGAGAGAGAGATCACGTCTAAGGACGAACAAAAAAATATGTCACGGTTGTATCAGTTAAGAAAAGATATAGTGTTCTTGATACATAAGTTTGTTTGTTCGTAAATCTCAGTATTTCATAGTATGTAGAAATAATCGAATGATATTTTCATCAAGAATTTTCTTCTAATTATAACCTCAAAATAATTACGTATTTTTTATGTTTATTATTATTAAAATACTTTCTTTGTTCAAATGTGTCCTAACGATCAACGATATTTAATACCGTTATTTACGAACGTGTCGGCGTATGTTCTATAAGTACACAAACAAGTGTAGTTAAGTGTGTTCATTGAGATTCACATATTGGAGTGACAGTGAAACGCATCGTAGTGAGAAAAACTAAATAGATTCGTGTGTGGTCGGACGTCACAATTGCTTTTCGTTACTTACGCAATTTAACTCATCATCTCGAATATATGTAAAACTTGTAAAAGCGAATTGTTCCTCGAACCTGCTGTCCTGTATATGTTTTTTTTTACAAAACGAGCATCGATCCCTAAATTACTCTCTCAGATTCGTTGCAGTCGTATTGGGTAAAAGATTGTATTAAAACGTCAAATTCAGAGCTGAAAGGGTTTGACAATAAGATTAACGAGATTCGTTGGTTATTTAAAAAATAGCATAAAAATTGCTGCGATGTTTCGGAATAAAACGAAAAACTGCCTGAAAAAACCTCGAAGCCGGTATATTGTTCTTTTACTTTTTTTTTTTTTTTTTTTTTTTTTTCTTCAAATGTTTTCTTTTCCCGTTATCACATTCTCGAAGTCAGTCCAAAACTTGATCACATCCGATTGTATCCCTAAGTAATTTTATCCATGGACCAACTTCAAGGTTTTATCCAGTGAAAACACAAATCGTTCGATCGAATTACAACCCTTTGATATTCGATTTCAGATGAATTTTATTCTCAATTACAAGAAACTTTCTTTGTCGGATATAAGAATGATCGTTGAGTTGCGTGTTGTATTACAATTAAATGCGAGCCGAATGTGATGATAAAAATTACAACTGCCCAGTAATTATAGCATTCTCAACAATCTATTAATTAGTACTTACAACCATATTGTATCGGTATATGTATGTATATGTTACAGTATTATACAGGCAGTGTTTCTTCAAAGAACCGATTCTCATTAACGTCGAATCTTAATAACGATATAATACGTGTCTATTTCAGTTTTCAATGCTTGTTTATTAGAGGAAGGACTGCTAACGGTTCACCTAAATATCAACGAGGATTATTATAAATTGCAACTTGGTTTCTTAATTAAATTCTCAGATTCGTCAGATCTGTTTTCCACGTTGAATTGAGCGTTGGTGTACAATTTCCTGCGCGCTGTTTGCCAATTTTTGTTAATAATAATCGATACACGCTAATTAGCCTAAGCAGAGTAGTATCGCAGATAAATTTTGGCGTCGGCCTTTCTATAAGAACTAGTGGGTTTCGTCTGTCTCGAGAATCAATATTAAGTAGGCTTACACACGATTTCTAAGATATTTCAGAGTTTCTAAAAATAACCCGAGAATTCCATTTGCATTTTCGATAATTGGGACTAAAACGAGAACGGTGGAGCCTTAAGCCTAATCGATGGCAAAATGTGTGATGCAACATTGTGGTGCAATTGAAAGACAAAACAAAGAAAGAAAGAATGAAGAAAAAATATGTTTAAAAAATATCCTTTCTCGTTTCAACGTGTCTGTATAATATGTATTAATGTAATCACTACGAGTTGAATTATAGTTTTACCATACATATGGCGATGTTTTTAAACAGTAATCGAGCCGAGCAAATCGTTGCAAAGTGTGAAACGTATGCATAGTACGTGCATGAAAGAATAAACTTTCCTTTTTTCTTTTTAAATGTCTCGTATTCGATCGAATAATAAAATACACGTCTATAACCATATACAAAGTAATCGTAACAAGCGACTCAAGTAACGAAGCGGTCTAATTAGGGTATACATTTTAGGTGTATGTATACCTACTCTAGCTACTGCTCGCGTCTATTCGAATGCATCATCGATTTGCAGCATGATTATAGTAGTACTACTGCGATGAAAAAGTCAATAAATCTAGCCGACCAACTGAAAATAAGAAACGATAAAAGGATATGCTGTGATTCGAACAAAACGATCAAGTCTTTTTCTCGAATTCGCAATTATTTCCCAACGCTGTCGAATAGCGGAAAATCAAAGAGGTACGCGCTAAAACGTATCGAAGTATGAACTTAGATGAGGAAAACGAAGAGAAAATGTCAAGCGGCATGTCGTGATGGAAAACAAGTGGTGGAAGAAGCAATTTAAACGGAAAAGAAGATGGTCGATATATCAGAAACATAAAAAAAAGATCACAATTGTAAAACGTATTTCTGTATAAAAAGAGTGATATCTCGATTTCTTTTTTTTTTTTTTTTCGGATTGAGCACGGCAAGGTCCGACGTCCAAGCATCACAGATTATCACGTCCATCGTCATGTACTTTCTTTGCTCGTTTGCTCGCACTTCGTTCATTTTCATCATTCTGTCGTTGTTTTTCTCGTGGCTGCCCGTCGCTCTATGCGAAAACTTGCAGAGTTTCTATCTTGTCGGACGTTGCCAGGAAGTCCAACAACGTTTTAAACTCCCGGTACATTTGTTACTTTTTTTCTTTTCGTTTCTTTTTGAGATTTGTCTTTCCCTTGTAAATTCTCATCCGATTTGAAGATTTTTCGAACCGATATTTGAGGACAGTTTGTTTCTGTTGCTTCACTGACACGAGTAACCGATAGGGAAGCAGCGAAGGAGATAGAACGAAATTCGGCAAGGTCCGACAGTAACAGACAATTCGTGTGTGTGTGTTTGTGACGAAAGTTTCGGCGGCTTTGTTCAACGATGGTGGTTCAATGCGCGCTGTCGGACATTGCCTGTAACATATCGACATGAAATCCGTCAGAAAGTTACCGCCAATGATCGATGAACGGTGAAGAAAAAACGTAAACGTAAATGTTTACGTATGGGGAAAAAAAAAAGAAGAGAAATTAGTGTCTTTTGAAGTGAGAAAGAAGTAAAAAAAAAAAGAAGGAAAAAACACACACCGACGCCTACTATACTTTCATGTGCCCTACACGTGTTTCCAACAAGTTACAACGTGAGAATCGTCATCTCGGTGCACTGTGTGTACACAATAATGGAAGTGATCAGCGACAACTGATTTACTGTAAAAAAAAAAAACAACAAAAAATTTACAAAGAATTTGTAATCCACAAGTACTCTTTGGTGCCTTATAGACATTCTCTATAGGAGAAAATAGAAGCATATTGATTGTTCAGGTAGCAAGCATTCCAGGACCGCAGTAGTGTGCGAAAAAGAACACTGTCAGTCGAAAAGAAGATCTCATTCAATGATGCAATCGTTAAACCGACGCGTTTCCCGACGAAAAAGCATTTGGACGACACGTTACTGATCTTCAATGTACACAATTCTAAATAATTTCGACTTTTTTTTCTTTTTCTTCTCCTTATTTATCCGATGTCTTCACTGTCCTTTAATCTTATCAAGCTTTCAATTCTATCATTGACGAACACTATCCTTTTTTTCCTTTTTTTTTTTATTTTGGTCAGTAACAATCAAGTGATCGGAACATAGATTTCATTTAATGACGTTTTTCCCATTAACGAGGATAGAAGCCAATAAGAAATCTTGCAAAGAATCGTGTTAGGTTCGAAAGGATTAGCATTCTCAATGACTCTATTTATTATCTTTAACTCATCGAGCTTATACATCGTTTATGTGCACTGCTATTTACCAAAAAACCATATTTGACGAATTGAAAATTAATTCTCTGGACTATGAGAAAAATGAGTCGGACGAAACTAAACTCAATGAATTAAATATGTATGCAATTGTTTTAACGGGGTATTGAATTTGAATAGCGTGGACAAACAAAGAGGAAAGTTAATGTTCTTTCAGGCTCCGCAGATCGTTGATTAACACGTAGTCTATTATAAAAGAAAAATCAATTGCGTAGAACATGGTCTATCAAGAGATTGTATAAGATTTGTCGGGAAAACACGCGACCAGATAGATTTCAAATCGAACATTGTGCAAACTTTTATTCGGCGCATCTATACCTCGTAATGCCAAATCTCTGAATGATATAATTTTTGGACAATCGTTCAATAAACAAATTTTATATAAACGACAAACGAATTTCGTAATAAACAGTCAAATTTTTCGCGCTTTATTACTGTTCCTATTCAAACAGGACATTGGCTAACTTTTATCATTTTTTCAGTAGCACTGGTAAGTATAGATGCATTTGCATTAACAGGAGTACTGTGTTGTATTTGAAAATTACCATCTTTGTTAATTCGTATGTATAATATACAGAGCAAGGTACTTTTTACCGACAAAATTTTCATCACAAAATATGTAACTATTAACGAATGAATAAACAAATCGTTTACAGTGAAAAATAGAAATGTTTAGCAGAATTACACAGAGAGGAGCTTTACCTAGCTCCGTATATTTTATTCGTATACACAATATTATTTAAAAAATGTTGTACCATCGAGTAAATATTTTTGTAAAGAAAAAAGGAAAAAGATCGGAAAAGATATTTAAGGAAAAAGCTAACTATGTGTGAATTATCGTGTCGAAAAATATTTACTCGTTTCGTGTTGTGCCAGATCTGATTTCTAGCAACAGTTTTGCTGTTACGGTAAGAAAGACACACATGACTTTACGGGATATCGATCAACTTTTCGCTTATATCCCGTAAAAGCAAGGAGACACACTGTAGATAAGATGTTGCACGTCGAGCAAATCGTTTTGACAATTTTTTTCCATTCGTGAACGTGGATATGTCCAAGTCCTTTTTTCACAAAGTCGTATCTACTGTATATATTCGATACCACGACGGTTCAACAAGTAGCAATGATTATTTTTTCAACTTTACAGTAATAAAATACAATTTCTGATGTTTATCTTCGACAAATGTTTCTTTAGCAAAAGTAAATATCGTTTACTGTCAGAATTTTGACAAATTTCAAAACAACTCGATCGTAAGAAAAATCTGATATAAAAACAGCTTTATGCAAATTTCAAGTAAGACTCTGTGTACACAGTCACACCACAAGTTTTGCAAAATATTACGAGCTATCTCTACCGAAAAGGAGGAGAAATTGTAATACTAATTAAATTACTTCGAGATTCAACGATCGAATTGCGTCAAAATCGTTGAATTTGTCTTTCGTGGCAGGACTATGCACATCCATCGACAAGAGAATCGATTTTTCATTGGCACGGTAAACGAATATACTCGACGTGTTTCCGTTTCGTAGAAAGAACAAAAAAAAAAAAAAGAAAGAGAAAAAAAAAGAAGAGAAAACGGAAAATTGTTCACACTAGGCGTGCTTGGGTACATCGTGTCATTCTGCATTGTTGAAATATCGTTGCAAAATTTCCTCTCGCTATGACACGGCGGTGTGGAACAAACTTGTGCCGATGCTAATCGACGCCAAACGAACTTACATCAATTCCAAACAAGAACGATATCATTGGATGCACATTCTTTCAATATAGATATATATATATTACATCGAGAACAAAGCAGCAGTTATATACTTGATGCATACACGACGTATATACAGGGTGGGACACATAAATTGCTACACCTGAATATCTTCGTTATTTGTAGACATGTGAAAAAAAGTATTTAGAGCAAAGTTAAACTGTTCGTCTTTTGTACGCTCTGTATAGATACAAGAAATATATACATATATGTATATATACCGTAGCAATTGAAAGAAAAGAAAAGAAAACAGCAACGATATTGAAATCTCGAGAAAACTAACTACGAACAGATTTTTCCTTTTTTTATCATTTTATTCGTCTCTTCGAACAATTTAAATACCTGCCTTAAATAGTTTCTTTCGTATATCTACAAACAACGGAGATATTTAAATGTATCCGTTTATGTGCTCCATCCCTCTGTGTGTGTGTGTGTGTGTGCGTGTATATGTGTGAAATGTATATATACAATAATAATAATAACAAATGAAAAAAAGAACAGTATTCAGATAAAAAGGAACAACAGTAAGTGTGTGCTTGTTTAAAATTAAATGTACAGCACTCTTTCTAACGATTTAAAAAAGGTAACTTCGATATAACTTGGAAAGTATATGCGTCAGTCTTGTTGAACGCTTTATATGTATATATATGTTAAGAGAAACACCGACTAAGCTCGAAATCGTTGCTAGTATTGCATTTTTTATTCAAGTAACATCGACATATAATTATCGATCGATAATTTTCTGTTTATAATTATACACACTGTTAGATTACAAATAAAGTAGCATCTTTGTATTACCTGAAGGACAAAAGCATTTGTAACGAAGAGACTTTGTTAAATTGATAAACAGATTTGACGGGGAATTAGACGACGATAAGGTTTAAAAACGTACGACACACAAGTGTATCACCCTTCGGTCTGATTAAACTCAGACTCTACTACTAGTTTGCATCCAATGTGACCGCACTGCCGTTCTGACAGTCGTGCCCCTCTAGTAGCCATGTGTGGACATTAGAAATTTACGAAACGATTTTTTAGATCTGTTTGCAGACGAGCTTGAATTTCTTCTGTCAGATTTAACGTACAGGTGTTCTCAATTACTACATTCAGCCCGTTTGAGTAAGTCAATTCGCGACGATATTGCTAGCAGAGAAAATACATCAAAATCCAATTTGCTATAGAAGAAAAATTAGAGAGCTGTGATAATTGTATTCGCAAGAAAATTCACTGCAAGGTATTTCCATTGTAAAAAAAAGCAAAGGTGTAGCTTAAAGTCTTCAAAGATTTCGTGTGATTTATTTTACGGTCCTCTTAACACTTTGCCTTGCAAATCAATTTTAAGCCTAAGCCCCGTGAAAACTATACTTCGCTAATTTACTTTATTAAATAGAACAGTTCCGAAAAAGTGAAATGGTTATCCATCTGTGAACTGCCGGTGCTTCTGCAGATATTTAAGCATCGCTCAAGTGAAACAACAAAGTGAAGTCAAAGTGTTAAAACCATGCACTTTTGATCTATCTATAGATAATAATGGACTCTCGCAAATCATGATAATTTCAAATCAACTCCACGATTTAAACGTTACAAATCTTCGAAAGAAGAATTTTCAGTTTTTCCAATTTGGAAAGATCGAATATTTCCTAAACAACAAGGACACCTTTCCGGTAAATCTGGCGAGAATCAAGCCCCAATCTGACCGTTGAAGACAATCGTCAAGTGCCCGTGCATGCCTAGTCTCGAGGCGCGCACACAACAAAATGAATAATACATGTATATACCGAGTAAAAATCATACAAGGAATGAAGGTATGTCACGTGGAAGTCTGACGAGAGGGACTTACGCTAGGTGTGGTATTGCCTTGGTTCACGTGCTGGGCCGGTACGTCGTCGTGAAAGTAGTCGTCGTTCTGTGTTCCAGGTACGCTTTGAGCAAAATCCAACAGACGGCGATTCGGGCTGTCTGGTGTTGTCGGCAGATCGTTGGGCAAATTCGGGAAGCAGGTCGAGGCGCTACGACGATGCCGCGACAGACTGTAATGCTCATAGTTACGATAACAGCCTGGCCCAGTCTGGGCAGGGCCACGTCCACATGCGGACTCTCCCTCGGTGCTGTTACCATCCACGCCGGACAAATTGTGACCTAGAAACAGGTTTCGCGACCGTTCTCACTTTTACAATACTGATAGGATGTCAACCTTGACGCAAGAATATGCCGGGTTCTCGATATCCATCATCAATTGTACTCCTCTCGAACGATGTGTCTCCAATATTTAGAGTGAGAGTGAGAGAGAAAGAGAGAGAGAGAGAGAGAGGGAGGGAGCAAGGAAGAGAGACATGCAGCGATTTCTCTTCGACAGCAAGCAGCAACAACATCCTTAGCGATGTCGATTGATTGAACGTAATGCAACTAGAATAATGGGAAGTATAAATGTTTCGTAAGGCCTGGTCCGACGTGGTAGGCTGATCTTTTCAGTAACAAGACAAACAGGCAAAATGATAATTAAATAACGTTTTACGAGTCAAAGTTTGTATGATCATTCACGGAATCGTATCGGTATCTGAAGAATCTGAAGAACGATGGACAAAACGATATTTTTGATTTTTTTTTTTTTTTTAATATAAGTTACGAGAAATCGTTTTGGTACGAGAATATTTTGAAATGGTCCATATTTGAGGATGAATAAGTTGGAAATATTGGAAACTATTTCAAGAACGTTCTGTATATTTATGTGTAAAATAAAGCGAAAACGTGAAACAAAGATTTTTTTTCGTTTGAGCCGTCGCTTTTTAAATAATCGAATTCGAAAAGTATGCACGATGGGACAAGTAATATATTGTTTAATGTAAAAAGGACGAAGTAATTCTTCGTGTAAAAGTAAACAACAAAGTGTTTCATTTCGATACGTCATTGTTGGGATAAAACAATTTTGAAAAATTTCAATCGAACGTATTGCTTGATTCGACATAGCTATCGTACTGTTTCATTGCTAATTATTTATTCTATCCATGTCTCTGTTATTTATACGTAATAATGTACCATTGATGTATACTAGACTGGCAATTTTTACGAACCTAACTTGAAGTAACTCAAAATTCATTTTGTCAAAAACGAGACATCGTTCAAGAAAATTTCATTCTCCATTTTCAATGTACCTTCCTATGAAAAATCACATTCTCCTACCTAGTACTATACTTTCCAAGTCACTCTGTATAAATTCTATCAGAGGAACCTTGAATCGTTGATTACTCGTTAATTTTACTTCTATGTAATAAATTGCAGGTAAGGAATAAAATTTCTATCGTCGACAACGGTAATATCGGTACACATACATATACATCGATGTGTATCGTAGAAGGATCTGCTTACCAACCGTCCACGCCGGACATCTAACAATCTGGAATGGGATTTGGCACCTAATTCGTACATTTTTTTCGCGCTACGATAACTTTATCAATCATGGCACAGGTATAGTAACGAAAAATGAATGATCGTGCTGTAGATGTGTATCAGGTGTTAATTACGCTACCGGATAAAAGTTTGAGACCACTTGTTACTTACGTACAATTTACTTATAATTTCGCTAGATTTGAGTAATACAAAGTTTCTTCAAGTTGTTAATCTTTTCTTTTTGCTGAAAATTCTTGCACAGCTCACAATGCGTAGCAGTTGCAAATTTTTGCCCGATAGTGCGTATACATAATTGGTTAGCCCTTGCTCGAGGAGAAGAGGCAGAGTTCTGATTTCAGTCCGGCGTGGTAGGCTGTTCTCTTAGCTATACATACGTATTATTCAGAATTTAACGGAAGCGAGAATATATAGGGTGATTTGAAAAATGCTCGAATAATTTAGACGTATATAGCACTCGTTAAGGTAGGAAAAAATGTCCTATCGATATAAGTCCGCGTATAAAATCTAAAGGAGACACAATTTGCGGTGTTTACTGTTGAAGAGATCCACGTGCATGGTCATCGCGATCTCCAGACTTTAGGTTTATCTTAGGTCAACGAACTTAAATATTCAAAATACGTAATATAGAACACTTTTAAAGAAATTTGCATTGAAAATATATGTCGATAAAACATTTTTCGCTTATTACAACGAGTACTCTCCGTCTCTAAATTACTTCGTCATTTTCAGATCAGGATCCTGCGTCGATAAAATAGTTCGTTACCACCCACGTCGGACATACTGTGAGCTAGCGAAGTACAATCAGCGTTTGAATCTCGATGTACAAAATCCGTACTGTTTAGTTTTGTGCGACAGGAGTGGAGAGAGATCGTTAGCTTGAAAATTAATTTGTGGTCTGTCCGGCGTGGTAGGTTAATTATCAAGTTCACCGAGAGATATAGAGAGATAGAGAGCGAGAGAGAGAGAGAGAGATAGAGAGCAGAAAGAAAGAGAAAGAAGAGAAGCAGCATGAAAACGAGATATATAGCGCAACGACGACGCCACGAGGGACCGTAATGCTCATAGCTAGGATAACAGCCTGACCTGGTCTGGGCAGGGCTGCGTCCATACACGAATTCCCCCTCCTTGCTGTTACCATCCACGCCGGACATATCGTGACCTGAAAACAGGCTCGGTATCCATTATGTTTTTCATAATGCCATCAATTCATCAACCTTGACGCAGGATTGCTGGGTTCATCTGTAAACACGTGTGCAGACGTGTGATATCGCATGAACTGACTAGCTATGAGATGTGACGATATTGGAAATGATGACTGGTATTATCGTGTTACATATACTCGAGAAACTAGCAAGCAAAGTTTTAACGAAGTCGATGACTTGAGATGCGATGATCGTGTTAGCGGTTCGGTTAATGAGAAAGTCGATAAAGGGGCGAAAGCAGTGGTGTATATAGTATATACTCGCGTTATTACCTTGATCCTGCGCCAGAACTGATAAATTTATCATTCTTGCGTCAGGGTTGATAAATTGTTAACATTCGTTGCGAATTTTTCATATTTGGAAATCGTTCGTTGGCATTTTTAACAATCCTAAACGATCGAAGAAACGTTGAAAAGACCCCTTCGTTTAAATCGCCCCCGTTCGTACACCGTACATAGACAATTGAATCCGTGGAACTTTTATGCTGAACTGTTTTGCATCAGTTCGCATTACTCCTGTGCAGAATAACGCTGAAACTTCTGACACTTGACGGAGAAATTCCAAGCAAAGAGGTAAAAAAAAAATTTGTGACATCTAAGCGTATGTATGTATATGTAGCACGAAAGTAGTGGTACATGATAATGTGAAAAGAATCATCCGGCTACTATATATGTAGCTAATTCGCAAATGGTAACAATAAGCTCGAGTCGCAGCTAAGTTTCGAGAAGCGTATACTCGAGGAAACATGGGAGGAGTAAGAGAATGAGAAAGTTAAAGGGGGTTGGGGGGGGGGGGGATATTGCAATATCTATCCTGTTGATGATCCGTCGCTTACCAGTGTCAACGATGACGTCGATCAAATCCATGCTTTTGGCGAAGGCGTCCCTCAGATTGATGTGATGAAAGGACACGATACTGCCCTCACGTTTAGCCCTCTCGAGAGCCTCCCGCCTCTTGAGGGCTTTCTCCCGGCGCATCTGGTTCTTGTAGAACTCAGCGAAGTTGTTAACGATAATGGGAATGGGCAACGCGATTACCAGGACACCACATATACAACACACACTGCCGATCACCTTGCCGAGCGGGGTCGTGGGGTAGATGTCGCCGTATCCGACGGTGGTCATTGTGATGCCCGCCCACCAAAATGTTTCTGGAATGCTTATGAATTTGGTCCCGGGCTCCTCCTTCTCAGCGAAATAGGCGAGGCTCGAAAATATGAGAACGCCCATCGCGAGGAAGAGCATCAGCAGGCCCAGCTCCTTGTACGAATTACGCAAGGTGAAGCCAAGGCTCTGCAGCCCGGTCGAGTGGCGGGCCAGCTTCAGGATCCTCAGGATCCGCATTATACGAAAGATTTGCACTACCCTGCGCACGTCCTGGAACTGGTCGGTCGTGTTCTTGTTCGTCTCGACCAGGAACAGAGATACGTAGTATGGCAGTATTGCCAGTAGGTCGATTATATTGAGACCACCCTTGAAGAACTTCCACTTGTCCGGCGAGGCACTGAACCTAAGCATGTACTCGAGGGTAAACCATGTGATGCACACAGCCTCCACCATCGCGAGCTGTGGATTGTCTTGAAAGTTCCCCTTCTCATCATTCAATTGCATACTAGGAATGGTGTTGAGAGTTAGTGCGATCGTCGAAAGCACAATAAAGAGTATTGATATCACAGCTATCACCTGGAAAACCGATGGATTAACCGGTCAAATCACAATCGAGCCATTCCTCAATCGTTCATTCTCTCCTACTTGTACACCGGATTAAGCAAAAATATCCACCTTTTTACATCTATCGTCTACAGCTATTAATAACAGATCGAGTTCATTCCTTCGAATCGACATGATTAAATGAAAATCAACCGGAATGAAAACGTTGAAAAAGTCAACCATTTTTACCAACGGTAAAAGTCTACGAGTAGATTAGTCAAATTGAAGAACATTATTTCTAGCACACGAATAGAATTGGCTCCACACCACTCTTTAAATAATGTATATGTACGCAACTGAATTGGTTAATAGTGATGTATCGATACACCATTATGATAGTTTCATCGAAGAAAGTAAGGCGACAAAGAGGTCTCTCGTGAACAGATCTCTCGTGAATTTTTGGTGAAACAACATGAAGAGCGATAAATTTGTTATATTTAGCCTTCGCTGTTTTATATATAAGCAACAACGACTACGAAAAAAGAGTAAATATCAAAAGCTCTCACTGCACGGAAGCGTTCAAAAATATAATATAATATGTATACAAAATTATACACCAAATAACAATTACAACAAGTTTTTATCAATGACAAAGCATGAGTAAGTTGTTTACAGGTACAAGGGAAAATGTACGATACGAAGCAAGCAACAATAATTGCATACGTAAAGAAGCTTGTTACCCTTTTCTTTTCTTTTTTTTTTTCCAAAACAAGGACATCGTATCATAGTTACAATTTTTGTACAATGCTCCAACGATGTTACTCGACTAATGAATAACATAAAAAAGAACCTCTTGTCCTGTTGTTACCACGACTGATATGACCAAGCGTTAAAAACCCGAAGCGCTCCAAACCTCCAAACGACTCTGGAACACCGCCGAAATAAGGAAAAGAAGAAAAAAAGGACGTGTAATGCGGTCTGCTATAACGTTCTGAAGCATTTTCTGCGAAACTGAGAACTCGACTAAATGCGTAGTGAACAGAGTCGCTGAAAACTGCTATAGAAACGTATAGGTACCCAGATATTTTCACCAAAGAATATCTAGTCGTTTGAAGGCAGTCTGCCCGACGTCGCTCGACTTATACAAGTTTTGTACATTGTTCGGCAAGCGTATTTAACATACATTGTTCGTTAGTCCCTTCAAAACCCCGCTCCCTTTGCTCCACCCTCGACCATGCCTTGGAGTGCCCGATCTATCTGGAACTATTCTTGTATTGCAGCCCCACGTAATATCCCCTGCCTTGCTGTATATAGTGCAATATCGCTACAAAGCGAAATCAATTCGTCGCTTCGGAGAAAGTTAGCAAAAAGTTACCAGTCTGTTTTAACAGAAACAAACAAGTTGGTCGCCTTACATCGATTTATATACCGCTAACTAATACAAAGTTGTACACTCGGAAGAAAAAGGACTACGACAAAAAAAATCGAATCGATCGTATTTCTCACGGGGTATTCATCTTAATTTTCGATTAGATAATTGTTAGCTTTACACTGTTAAGGTTTTGTATTGTTTCAATGAAAATATGTACCTTCGAAAATATCGTTTACATTCAGAAATGTTAAATATAGTTTGGCTTCCGAGTGTGTGTAGGAGTTAGGTGCAAAATTGAAAAGCACAAGGTGAGAAAGGAGAGGAGGATAAGAAAATGGACGTTGCATTCGCAGTTTTTCATGCAATAAACTGCAATGCTCTCTACAGAAGAAATCACATTGGCCAGAATTTTTTCAGGTTCTTTTTCTTTTCTTTTCTTTTCTTTTTTAATCAACGTCGCGAAATTCGTATAAATTTCAGTTACGAATGTGTAGTCGCGGAAATAATCAGCTAAATTCGCCAAAGTAACTCATATTAAAGTAAGCTTAGAGCGGAACGCTTGTGCAGGATAATGAAACTTCTTGCAAAAAGCTGTCTTGCGCGATATTTTCATTTTCAGTATAATACCGTTGGATCGATTATAAGTCAACTTATGCTATATTACTCGCAGCTTACGAAAGTAACTAATTTACTGCAAAAAATTCATTTCTAGCTTAAATGTGATTTTCATTTAATTACAGTTTTATTAATGTTAATATGTGTTATCGTGATGCACGTGTTACGCGAATGCATACTTCATTTTTTCAATTTCAGACAGGCCCATACTTTTAAATTAACACTTTAACAAATGTACGCGTTATTTTCTAGAAACGTTTTTTTATTTCATCTGAAAATTATAATTCGCAAAGTATAAATTTACATGAAACGACGAACAACACAGCAATTTAAATAGCTTTCCTTTCATTTCAAAAATTGTCTTGAACGAAATCAACTTGTGTTCGTTAAAGAAGATATTGGAAATCATTGCCTTCGACACTTAATACCTATATTTTCGTATTAATTATATGTAAAGAAATCTGGCGAATTAAATAGGAAAAATTTGCAAATCATCCTGTGTACAAATGGTAAATAATTTTTAATTAGCACGTTAGTTAATTTGGTAAATATACTGTTAATATACAAATATTTGATATTTATTCCATCAGGAAGCACGACTCGAATGAAACAATTGCCTAGCTTATACCTTACTTGATATTATCTCCCTTGATATTGCATGCAGAAAATAACTTTCTACCCTTTACGCGATAATTAGTACGTGGCCTTTTAAATCTTAATTATCATCGGGTCTATGCGAGTCTTGAAAGATTTCCCTACGCGCCAAATTATAATTCAGATCAAATGTAACGTCACCCTTTTTCAAACCGTATCGAAACGTACTAAATATATTAAATAGCTGCACTTGTAAAAATAAGAACACGAATTACAATACACACGTCTATTGTTATAACGTTCCATTAAGTAATATCATTGTTCTCTACATACATCACATCTCGAATAAATTTATCAGTCAAGATACAAAGTCACTTCGAGCTGGAATTTAATTGTTAAAAAGAAATCTCGATAAACTAACAAACCCGACGAAATTTCAAGATTCGCATAGTCCATTAATACATCGAAATCTCCATATCGGTACTACGTTAAAAATAAACAAACTAACAGGGAATAGATTTTTCAATAGGATAGACAATAGTGTGACACTTGAAATCAATTTTCCTTGAATTACTCGGAAATTACTTTTTTATCTGGACCTTCTTTTATCTCGATCGTACTTAAGAATAAGTTTCTCCTTGTCCAAGACTTGTATTGTTAGGTTTTCGTGCATGGTTAATTACGCATAGAGAAGGAAATGCTTTGAATACGGAGGTTGCGCTGTATTACTCAACAGTAGAGAGATTTAACATAAAGAAGAAAGTAAGAGCTGTAAAGAGAAGCAATGTCAACATTCTCTGGACGACTATATCCATATATATATTTTCAGAAGTAGCTATAGTTATTGACCGACGGCTCCTTACTGCGTGGTGGTTTAAATATAGTGGAAAAGTCGATAGTGTCTGTAATATTGACGCATTCAGGAGAAATGTTTGAACGTATGGTAAAGAGGCTCCTCCGCGAATGTTCTTCCAAAGAGAGAGAGTTTTCTTTATCCGTCATCTATAGTAAAGCGTTAACGGTGCCGTAGCGTAAAAAACTGATAACACAGACTCGGGTAACAAAAGGATTATAATTCGAGTTAGTTCAATCGATGTACGTATTATTGAAACGTCCACGTACGATGTGAGAGAAGAATGGAACAGAAAGAAAGATCGGGAATATTAATTAACGTGAGATGAGAATATCTCGGTAATGTTGGAATCGGTGGGGGGGGAGGGATATAAGATGTTATTTTAGTAGTACCCCGCATAATATTGTTTCATCTTGAAGCAACAGTGTGTGCAATGTGTATTGTTTGTGGTGTGTATGGCAAGTATTATTATGAGACAATATTTACAAGAAAAGTGGCGTCGCTTAAGTGCCTCACAGATTCTCTTAACACGATCACAGTTCGTTGTTCTACAATGTACTCCGAATGTAACGTGTACACGAAAAGAAATATCTACATAATTGTCGCTAGAGCAGATCTATCTATGGTACTAACAATTACGTATACAAGATTCTATTCTTCCTAATCCTATGCTGTTCATCCACGTGCTTTGTTACACGAGTATCAATAATTACAGTACAATGCCACTAAATTTCTTGCGCATATATTTCTTTTTGTGCAACGCGCCAGATTCGTTGTGTTAATAGCTAATCCGTTCCATATTTTTTTTTTTTTTTTAAATTGCAATCAGTTGGAGCAAATTCGATTTTTTCTCATTTATTTGACAGTAATAATTGAAAAATACTGCTACGTATTGTACTTGTACATGTCGAATTGAATTCGCTGGTAGCGAAATTACTTAATAGTTATCTCATAGGGAGCGGTGTCGAGAAAGAATCTACGTGATACCTGGTAATCGCGTATTATGCACTCCCATTATCATCAAATGCTAAACACAATGATCGTTTAATAATTGCAGAATCTATAAAACTAAGAGCTACAAAGCTGAATTACTTAACAATCAGATTTAAAATGACTGGTTGTATACACCACCTAGAAATAAAATACACATTACATACATCGACACAACGGGAGTGGGGGGCCATGAGAAATCAGTTTTTTTATATATG